CAGTCCTGGACAATTTCCACTGTACTTTTAAAAAGCACTACTTTTTTCTTAAAACTTTTTAAAATTAAAAAGTTCTATGTGTGAAAAGTTTCCACAAAACATTTTACATGAAAGACACCAAACAAAGTCAGTATACGGTGAGAAGATAGAAGGAAGAAGGCTTCTCCAAGTGCCAAACTTCATGACTTGGTTGGCATCCAAAAATAATCAACAGCATTCAAAAAACAGAAACACGGTAAACTGATATTTAAAAAGATGGAAAACAATCTAGCCTCTAACCAGCCACCAGCTAAAGAACTAATATTGAACATGAAAATGATGGAGACGTAATCCATTAGGAGTCTTAACAGTAACTGATCAATGCAAGCTGAAACCTGATAAAGAAGTAAAAAAATACATCTAGCACGCACAGAGTTGGACTCCATATTCTATTCATCAGGAATGAATTTTGCTTCATGAAATTTCATTTTAAATCAAAAGATATAACACGTCGTGACCTCAGTGCTTTCTTGTCCTGCTCCATTTTTCATAACAAATGAAAACATTTCATAACAAAGCATGAGCGAAAAGAAGAAGTTAAATTTTCACTGTAAAAAAAAAAAATGGAGATACGACAAGAAAACACTGAGGTCGAGATATGTCAAAGAAAAAACTCAAGACCAAAAATCTGTTCCCCATGTGCCTGTTAGACTGTAATTCTAATTGTTACTTGGAAGAAAGAAGGTTACTGACCTCCATATCCCCTTGCTCCAAGCCCTTCTCGCCGAACATATCGTACACCGCCCGTGTGCGCTTGTCTCGTAAAACTGAAAACAAAAGGTGAATAAAGAGGTGATCTTAAAACTCAGTGCAATAACAGAACACATAATCTAAGCTTAGAGATAAATCTTCCTTCTTCCTAGCTCTGTAATGACTCTGTCTTGTTTAAGTTTAAGTCTGTCTTACAGTGGCGAGACACATCTCTCTTACTTATATTTGTCTTCTTTTCGGTTTTTTTGGTAAGTGTTTTACTGAGCTTGGAACTGCATAACGATAAGGTCATATATCCATATGATCGTTTCCATCTGATCTTTTCTACAGACCTCTTATAAATTTCATCATAGTACACAGGCACTAACCATAGAAAATTAAAACAATTAACTCAAATCTGCCTAGAATTTAAAGCCTTTGAATAGGTGAGAAGGAGAGGACACTGTACCATCATGGGCCTTTCTGAGTTTGTTGAATATCTCCTCTGCTTTCTTCTTTCGGTCTGGGTTGACATGCTTATCTGGATGGTAGATTTTGCTGAGATGTCGAAAAGCATTGTTGATTTCTTCTAGGGAGGCCTGCAGAAAAAAACACACAAAAAGTAGACATAGTAGACCTGTTATAAATGTGTACTGTGAAGAATGTGGCCAAATAAGACAAGTCAAAGTCAAGTGTTCTTTTCCCATTCTCATTCTCCGGAACACATATATTAAACTTTACGGTTGGAATTTTGGCTTGCCGTAGTCCTGCTAAAGGTAAATTATTAAAAGAGCTGCAAAATTTTAACAGATAACAAGACGGACTTGAGAACAATATTGACACAAAAACATTGTGTATATTGAAAATAAAACCTAAGACCTAGACCTGAAAACATCGTTTGAAGCAGCTTGCATCTAACAATTAGAATCTATAGAGCTACAGCAAATCGCTCAAACCAAAAATTCTTAAATTCATTTTTATAAAGTGGACTACATTCGATCTTAAAAAGGGTTAGCCTGTCATTACTAGATGCCCACTTACACATTATCTCCTGATGACTTGTGTGAAACCTTAATTTTTTGAAGTAGAGTAATGTTTAAAAAAAAAAATCCCTAACCTGCAATTTTTCTAAAGGTGTTCATGCATGCAAGTATATATTATTAATATTATGACTTTTATTGACCCCAAAGACAGCTTCACTACAGTCTAAACAAACTTGGAATAAGTCGGAAAGGCCAAATAATTATGTACTTATTGAACACTCCCAGGGCAAAAAATGTTCTTTTTAGAATTCAAAAATATCTTTTAAAATTATTTTGTGTAGATCTAGATCTTTTTACAACACAGTTTAGACTGAACCCTGTCTGTCAGTGCCAAGCTGGTCTGAGAGATTTAGTTTAGTTTTAGTAAAGGTTTTACGCCGCTCGCAACTGCTTAGGCTTAGATGCCAGAAGATTAGAGGAGTTACAAGAGAGTAACAAACAGAAAAAAGAAGAAGGGGAGATAATGACGATAGATGTTTGATAGGAAAGAAGAGAAGCAAACCACACCAGAGCACCCGCCAACCACCCACGGTCTGAGAGGGATACATTCCCAGCTAAAGCACTACTACTACTACAGATGTTAGCCTCCTATGGCCTGGGAACAAAGTTCAGAGCAATAGAAACTTTGGCACTCTTCGGGACAAGTGGTCCCGGCCTACCTCCATAGAAATTAATAGCACTTGTAATCGGAAACAAAAACGTAAGTCGAATAAAAAAGCCGACTGAGTATTGTTTTCTTTTTTTTAGTTCGATTTTTAATATTTTCTATTAGGTGGCCTTTTCACCCTGGCAACTCAGCCAGCTTTTTTGCTCAACTTCTGTTTTTGTCTCCGATTAGATCTACAAGTTTTATTTCTATGGAGGGGGGTCGGGACCACTTCTCCCGAAGAGTGCCGAAACTTAATCTAGTTTTAGTGATTGAAGTGTGCTTTAATTGTCTAGTCTACATCTAGACTCTAGATCTAGATCTAGATCTAGTGTGTAGTGTAGTGTAGACAGGGCCTAGGACCCAGCCGGCTGGGGGGTGCTTAGGCTTAGGCTTAGAGGAAAGAAAGTTTTTAAAAACGGAACAAGTTGTCACTGAGTGACTCGCGTCAGTAACAAGTTACACATCATTTTCCATTCCCAGTCCAAATCAACAAAATCAATTTTTTTTAAAGACTCAGTCTTGAATTGAAAATTGAATGGCACTTTTTCCTCAGAAATAAAGTATAAAGAGATTGTGATTTTACTCTAGAGTCTAGACGTAGATTCTACATCACTTAATGGTAAATGACATAACATAAAGTTAACTCAGTTTTTAAAGTAAGTCTAGAATTCAGCACTGAATAACATAAGTTTTTGAATAGCAGAATACAAATAGACAATTTTTACAAGAGTTGAATGGTCAGAATAAGCACGAGAACAAAAATTACGAAATTGACGGTATGTTATAAGGCTAAATTCTAAGAAACTACACTGCAATAAAACAAACAACGGTTGCATGATAATCTGCACTTGACGATTAACTGAATCAGTACATTTTTTCAAAACTTACGTCTCTCGCAACATTGAGAAGAGCATAATAATCACTCTTCAGAATATCATCGTCTTCCTCCAAGGACGCAGCCATGTTACCTTGGTAGAGGAAGTGACGAAATAAGTGAAAGAGATTTCATTCGCACGATAGGTCTACTTTTTAGTTCTCGGAATTCGTCCCTCATGATGCATAACTGCACAATAGAATGTATTCTGTAAAATGCAGCCAAGGCTAGCCTACTTTACGGCTATCATGTCATGAGATAAGACATCTTGTTCTACCGGCGGCAGATTTGAAGAATTGTGTGGGATTCTGTACCTTGTTAGAGGGTGGATAGGCTTATGTATGAAATGAATATTATATAAGATACATAAGATTGTTTTTTCATTATTTATGATTGAAAATGTGATATGACAATCTTACTTGGACGTGAAACGAAGCTGTGTTCATAAATTAGAGAGAGAGAGAGAGAGAGAGAGAGAGAGAGAGAGAGAGAGAGG